CTATTGACTCAGAATAGGCTTCAGATTCAAACTGGGAAACTGAGTCAGTTGTGGGCTCCCACACTTGATCCAACCTAGAGTTACTTAAAAAGAGGAAACCTCATTTGAGGGATTGCCTAAATCAGATTGGCATGTGGTCATGTCTATGGAGAACTGTCAAGATTGATGATTGGTCTGTGAGGGCACAGCCCATCGTGGGCAGCACCATCCCTGGGCAGGTGGGCCTGGGCTGTATAAGAAAGGTAGCTGAGCATGAGCCGGAGAGTGAGCCAGTAAGCAGCCTTCCCCAACCGTCCCTGCCTCGAGTTCCTGACCCGACTTCCCTCTACGATAGAATGTTTCCTGGAAGTGTAAGCTGAAAGAAACCCTTTCCTCCACCAAGTTGCTTTTGGTCTGATTGCTTTATCACAGCACGAAAGTGCAAACTAGAACACCCTCTATGGACTGAATTGCATCCCCTCAAACCTACACGTTGAGGTTCTGTGTTTAGAGATGGAGTCTTTATGGGGGTAATTAAGCTAAATGAGGTCACATAGTTGAGTTCCTGTCTTAGTTTATTTTTTCCAGAGCTGTGATTTAAAAAAAAAAAAAAAAAAAAAAAAACCTCTGACAAATGCAACTTAAGGGGAAAAGGGCTTATTCTGGCCCCTAGCCCCAGGGCACAGTCCATCGTATTGGGGTAGTCAAGGCAGCAGGAGTTTGAAGCAGCTGGTCACATCGCATCCACAGCAGGAGGAAGAGAACTGTGAGTTCATATGAGAGGAGGGACCCTCATTTGAGAAAATTCATCCACAAGATCCAGCTGTAGGCAAACCTGTAGGGCATTTTCTTGGTTAGTGATGGATGGGGGGGGGGGGCCCAGTCCATTGTGGGTGGTGCCATCCCTGGGTTGGTGGTTCTGGGTTCTATAAGAAAGCAGGCTGAGCAACATGGAGAACAAGCCAGTGAGCAGCACCCCTCCATGGCCTCTCCATCAGCTCCTGCCTCCAGGTTCCTGCCTTGTCTGAGTTCCTGTCCTGATTTCCTTCAGTGATGAACAGTGATGTGGAAGTGTAAGCCAAATAAATGCTTTCCTCCCTGGTCGCTTGGTCATGGTGTTTCATCGCAGCCATAGTAACCCTGGCTAAGACAACAGGTGGCACCCGGAGTGAACGACAACAGGTGAGATGCCCAAGCAAGTGCTTGTGGGCAGGGAAGCAAGGAGGATGGAGGCCTGAGTGCTGGCTCCTCCAACAGAAGTGAGTCCGAGACACAAGAACAGCAAGGGAGACTGGAAAGTGACTAGGGGGGCGAGATCAAGTAGACGGCATGGGGGAGTCCATAGAGAAAGGGCAAAGTGACAGGAAGGCAGAGAACACCACTGCCTCGCTTTAGTAAACGACAGAGTAAGGACTACACGCTGATTCTGGAAGCATGGAGGTCAGAGGTGAATGAAATCCTGCTTCAGCTGAGCTAAAAGAGAAGCATACCCAAGCATGAGGGAAGCCCTGGATCGCAAGCTCCAGGCCAATCTGGGCTCCATGGTGAGTTTGAGGCCAGCCTGGAATATATAGTAAGACCCTATCTTAGAAAACAAAACTGGGGCTGGAGAGACTGCTCAGTGGTTAGAGCACTGGCTGTTGTTGCAGAGGACCCAGGTTCCATGCCTAGCACCCATGTGGTGGCTCACAACCATCTGTAACTCCAGTTCCAGGGCATCCGATGCCCTCTTCTGGCCTTCTCCGACCCCACGCAAGATATACATACATACGTACAGGCAGGCAAAACACCTATCATATGAAACAAAAACAAACAAATCTTTAGCAAAAATAACAACAACAACAACAAAAAAAAACCCTATCCAGGTAGAAGATGGCATTGGTAATGTTATTTAAAAGATAGCATTTAAGGGAGACTAAATGAGGTGATACCTGAAACGGACTTGGCTTGTGTAAGACAGGATGGTTTGAGGATGGTAGAAAGGACGGACCGAGATGTGAAGCGGTGTCATTCAACACTGATGGCAGAATGTCCTGGCAGATACGCTGGTGTTCACCTTAAGCTTCTTTCAACTTTATGGTATTGCCTCATTTTATTGTTGTAAAAATCCATGTCACATAAAACTTACCACCTTTATTTTAAACACATCTTTCATCGAACACTTGCATAACACGCGCAGTCGTCATCACCGTCCACCCCCCACCACGCTTTTCATCTTGTAAAACTGAAACTCTCTAAACATTACACAATAATTCTCCATTCCCCCTTCCCCCAGTCCCTGGCAACCAGCACTTGACTTTCTGCCTTATGTTTTGATTGCTCTAAGTGCCTCACATAAATGGGATCATAGACTCCTTTTTATGACCAGCTTGTTTCACTTAGCATACTGTCCTCAAAGCACATCATTGCAGCTCGTGTCTGAACTACCGTCATTGTGGAGGCTGAGTAATACCTTCATGTGGCTCTACCTCAGTCTGCTCACCTGCTTTCACTGATGGGCACCTGGGTGAATTCCTCATTTTAGCTGCTATTGGTAGAGATGCTGGGAATATGAGTAGACAGATAGCCAAGGCCCCGTTTTTAATTCTGCTGGATGTCCACCTGGTGTGGCAATGCTGGGTCACATGTCCTGTGCATTGGTTATGGTTTGAATATGGCCTCCAGTGTCTCAAGTGCTGGAGGCTGGGTCACTGGGATGGCAACGTGGAAGAGGGTGGAACCCTTAAGCAAGAGATGATTAGGTTGTTGAGGATATTACCCTTGGAAGAAACTGATGTACTTTCTCATGGGACCTTGGTTTGTTCTTGCAAGAGGGTTGTCATAAAATAACAAGGCTGGCCTGTCACCAGCTCCCTGGATTCCTGTCTCATCTCCTGAACTCTCTCACACACAAGGTCCATCTGTGCTTGAATTGTATACATTCACTCAGGACTTCATCTGTTCTTTACACCTTCATCCAAGGCTTCCTCGGCTCCCCTCAGCTGATTCTCTTCTAGGCTAGTCCTCCTTCGTGTGTGTGTGTGTGTGTGTGTGTGTGTGTGTGTGTGTGTGTGTGTGTGTTTCATTAGGACTTCTTTCTGGAGCACGGGTGCCCTGGCAGTGGCTAGACTACTGAGGAAAACGTCTCCCCTTTCCCCAGAAACCATGAACTGTCTACAGATCCTCAGGGAGAGGTGGGGCCTGGTGAGACCCTCTGCTTTCTGTGACAGATGTTGACAGGCCCAATTCTGTGCAGACAATCACAGCCACTGAGGGTTCAAGACCACAGTGGCTAGGTCACCCCTGGAACACGGTGCTTCACATCACTCCACCCCTTTCTCTGGCTGTTACATCCTTTCTAATCTCTGTTCTGCACTGTCCCATGAGCCTGGAGCTACATCCCCTTTAGGGTGCAGTGTTCATCGGTCACTTCTTCTCAGCACCCTGACCAACTAGGACTTCTGAAGCATCTGCTGCCTGATGTAAAAAGAAGCATCTCTGACAAGAGTTGACAGCAGCACTCATCTGTGGGCATAACACAAGGATTTAGCAGGCGATTTGACAAGTGTAGCATGCTCATTTAGTAAGGCAGCAGTACTAGCTAGCTTCCCTACTTTAGCCTATGACCTCTCCAGACTTTTGACAGGTTTATGACACTGGACATGAATCCCCCCCCCCCGACCCCCGACCCCAGCAGCTCTCCAGTCCAATCGGAAACCAGTTGCTTTGCTGCCTTAAGGGTCGTTGCCGCTGCTGCACAAGTGGCCACGCCTTGCCTAGCAGATTGGTACTGTAGCTCACAGAATCCATGGAGGAGTAAGACTGCTCAAGCCTTTTCTCCCCCAGCAGCCTGAACAGCACCTTCCAGCACCATGAGAGCTAACCAGTAAAAATAAGTGTCTCGGGCTGGAGAGATGGTTCAGGGGTTAAGAGCACTGGCTGCTCTTCCAAAGGATCCAGGTTCAATTCTCAGCATCCACATGACAGTTCACAACTGTCTGTAACTCCAGTTCCAGGGAATCTGACACCCTCATACAGACATATATGCAGGCAAAGCCCAATGTACATTAAATAAATAAATCTTAAAAACAAAAAGAATAAAGAAAAGAAGTTTCTCAGCCTAGCATGTTTGGTGAGGCCCAAGCCCATGGGAGACTCAGTCCCAAAACCAGCAAACAGGCCCAACTCACACCTGCCAGAGTGAACCTAGCTGAGGACTATGGCTGGAGAGGTCATAGACCGCAGAGGAGAATCTACCATGGCCATTTTCCTAAACCAATATAATTTCTAACTATATTCTAAATACTTATCCTTATATCCACAGATAAGTGCAGCTGTCACCTCTCATTTAAAAAAAAAAAAAGGCTTCTTTCTGCAGCAGATGGAGGCTACTACAAAACGCAGAGGATAAGTGATCGTGGGTACCAACCCCAACTGATAACACACCTCCTACATATAAGGTTTAGAGAACATAATGGGAGAGGTAAGAGATTGGAAAAGGCACAGGGCCAAGATACCTGCGGCAAGATGGTGTCTTCTTGACACGACAGGCACTCGGCACCCACGAATTCTCAGCAATATGGTCACCTGCACAAGACGAGCACTATGAACACATTAGTCAACAGGGCAAAGAGAATGGGGGACAATATCGCAGGACCCCATCCCTATAGGAAAGCTACAGCAATTGATGGCTGTGGAGGGCAGGAGAATCAGTTTTTTCCAGGGAGAAGCCCCCAGTAAGTTCTCCAGTCCCAAGTAGTTCGTCCTAAACACATGTGCATGTACATAAGAGCAACACTAAACAGGCTTGGCGGGTTATATGTGTTTATGTGTAAAACGTTAATAATTATGGAAGGAGTTGGGGGGGACACAGGATGATTTGTGGGGGGGAACCAGAGTGGAAATGATGTAAATACAGTATAGACATGTCCTGGTTTGCTTTCCGTTGGTAATAAAACACTGACCAGAAGCAACTTGGGGAGGAAAGGGTTTATTTGGCTTAGAGGTCACAGTCCATAATTAGGGGTAGCTGGGGCAGGAGCTCAAGACACAAACTGAAGCAGAGACCGTGGTGGAATGCTGTTTACTGGCTCGCTCTCTTTGGCTTACTCAGCTACTTTTCTAATTTAACCATGCCCACCTGCCTAGGAATGCCACCACCCACAATGGACTGGGCCTTTCTACATCATTAACAATCATGAAAATGCCCCCACAGGCCTGCCCATGGGCCAATAGAATGGAGGCAGTTCCTCAGTTAAGGTTCCCTCTTCCCAAGTGACATCACTTTGTGTCAGGTTGACAGAAATCAATCATCACAATTCCTGCATGAAACGTTAATTAAAGAATGACAGCTGGGTCCTTTCCAACTTGGGCCCAGCAGAACGGCTCTCGAAAAGAAGGGTGGCGAGAAGAAGCAGGGCCGTTCTGCCATCAACGAGGTGGTGACCCGAAAATACACCATCAACATTCACAAGCTCATCCATGGAGTGGGCTTCAAGAAGCGTGCCCCTAGGGCACTCGAAGAAACCTGGAAATTTGCCATGAAGGAGATGGGGACTCCAGATGTGCGCATTGATACCAGGCTCAATAAAGCTGTCAGGGCCAATATCCGTGTACGTTTGTGCAGAAAACGTAATGTGGATGAGGACTCACCAAACAAGCTCTACACATTGGTAACTTACGTACCTGTTACCACATTCAAAAAAAAAAAAAAAAAACAGTATGACAGCTGAGGTTCTCCTTTGCCCTCCATATGCACACATGTGGATATGTGTAGTCACACCAACACACCCGCATATGCACAAAAGAACTTCTTATGGGTGAGGAAGCCGAGGGCAGCACTGAGCGCTGCGCATGGCCACCTGGGGGAGCCTCAGCAGGGAGGCAGTCACCCAGCCCTCGGAGTGTTGGCTCAGTAGTCAGGACTCTCTGGACTGTGTCCCAAGTGTCGTTCCATTTGTGAGCTGTGTAATCCAACTTAATCTCTCTGTGACCCAGTTTCCTCTTGTGCAAAGTAGAAATGATATTTACTTCTCAGGTGTGTTGTGGATGACTACACCAAGGACCACACTTACCTAATGTTAGCTCTCAGGAGCCACGTGCTCAAAATACACCACACCCCTTCTGGAATTCTGTGACACGAGCCACAGAGTGTTCTCAGTCTCTGTGAGTTACCACAGCTCGAGTTGAATTTTTCAACTCTTAGAATCAAAAGATTTGGAACAAAAAACACACCATTTTCATCTCCATTAAGAAGATGATTAAACTAAAAATCAGAGAGGTTAAACTGGTTCCCCAAGGACACACAGCTCGAGTTTGAACTCAGGGTCTGTTTGACCTCTCAGTCTACTCAGAAAAGCAGCCTTTACACCTGCCACTAAAGCCCATGTGCTCAGGACCCTCATTATTTCCTAGTCAAATGTTCTTTCTGTTGGGGAGTTTCCATGAAGGTGAAACCTGACATTTGGAGAGAAAAGAGGGGGTGGTCAGGCAGCCTCCTGAGCTCAGGCTGAACACCCCAGAGAGTGACTTAATGGATCACAAATTGTACTTGGGAGGCTTAATTTCACATGGTCCAGTGAACCACATCCCCATCTCTGCTCCCTGGAATGTGAGCAGGAACAGGCAGAGAAATGTTCTCACCACGATAGGCACACGCCAACTCCAGGGCGACCTCCCAGGGTTTTAGTCTTGAGGATGCCAGGTAGGTGCCCGCTCTCCCTGCCTCCTCTGCCTTCTGGCCTCTTTGCTGTCTCTCCCTCTGCTTCATTTTTTTTTTTAACTTCATTTCTTCTTAATCAGAAAGCACTGGGATTGCTCACAAGAAATGGTTACAAACAAAATGTAAATACAAAAATCAAGTACTGGCCGGGTGGTGGTGGTGGCGGTGGTGGTGGTGGCGGCAGCGGCGGCAGCGCACACCTTTAGTCCCAGCACCCAGGAGGCAGAGGCAGGCGGATCTCTGTGAGTTTGAGGCCAGCCTGGTCTACAGAGTGAGATCCAGGACAAGTACCAAGACAAAACTACACGGAGAAACCCTGTCTCGAAAAACAAACAAACAAATCAAATGCCAGGCACCAAGACTGGGTAGGCCATAAAGTGGGGTAGAAAGTACAGGCTGAGAGAATAGAGCAGTGTATACTAAAAGTGGTATTTTACTGTTAACCGTGGCTGAGCTGCTTGGTAGCCAATGTAAAACTGGGAAGCAGACAACTGTACAGTTCAGAAAATCTGAGTAGTGTAGACGGACAGAACATACCATTGGGGAAGCCAAGTGTCCCTTCAAGCTCATCTCCTCTAGACCAGTTTCCCACGTTGTATGAGGGGATACTGAGGACTGTCACATCCAGTGGCCTGGCCTGGCCTCCAGATATAGGAACAGGTTTCAAAACTGTTGAAGAAAGCAGTCAGAGTGGCCCCCAAAATACAACTCCACCAGAGCCTTCAGAAAACTGGAGAGATGGCTTTAGGAGTTAAGAGCACTAGCTGATCTTGGAGAGGACCCAGGCTTGATTCCCAGCACCTACATGGCAGCTCACAACCATCTATAACTCCAATTCCAGGGCATCCCATGTCTTCTTCTGCACTCTGTGGGCACAGACATGCATGCAGGCAAAGCACTCATATACAGAAAAGTAGAAGGAATAAATCTAAAAAAGATAAGGTTTCTGAGACTGAGAAAGTAGCCCGATGACAGAGCAAGTCCCTGGGTTTGATTCCCAGCACTGCCCCAAATAGGGGAGGATGCCACAGGTAAATACGTTAGTGGTAAAGTCAGGATTAACAGAAGCAAGTTTGTTTGGTACTTAGTTTTTACTGTTGTTAATGTCCAAAAGCACATAGCAGAGAATTCTGGGACAAAAAATGTGAGAGAAGACTGCAGGTAGCCAGTTCCAGAAGATAAAAGAAGCATGTGTGTGTGTGTGTGTGTGTGTGTGTGTGTGTGTGTGTGTGTGTGTGTGTGTGGCTGGCCAGGACTTGGCTGTCTGCATCCCCAGGGTGAGCTGATCCCAAAAGGATCAGGCATGGGCTAGACCTAAAGCTCAGGTGGAAGTATCGTTTTGTTTTGTTTTGTTTTGAGACAAGGTTTCTCTGTGTGGATCTCGTTCTGTACACCAGGCTGGCCTTGAACTCACAGAGATCCTCCTGGCTCTGCCTCCAGAGTGCTGGGATAAAAGGCATGTGCCACCGCTGCCCAGCTAGGTGGAAGTATCTTGATCAGGTGACATCAGCAGTGTGACTTCCAGGACAGTCCCCTCTAACTGCTACCTCTTGGTTTCCACTGGCTTTGAGGCAGAGCATTCCACCATCACTCAAGTCTGTATCACCCCCAGGCTGTTGGAAATCTCAGAATGGAGAGTCTGCAGTTCCAAGCAAAAACAAACAAACAAACAAACAAACAAACAAACAAACAAAACCCCACAAGCTCTACTGAACGTTAAGGTTTGTTGTATCTGTACAGCAATGTACAATCTGTACGATAAAACAAACAAATGCTTGACTTGGAGAGCTGGAAGGATCCCAACCCCACAGCACATGCGCCACAGGGTGGGTGCACTCTCCCCTGCTGGGCGGGTTCAGTCTTCAGGAACCATTTGTTCTTCCCCGGGGATGGATGACTCCAGGCTGTGCCCCAACCCTGTCAGAGTCACTTCTCTTTCAGACGCCCCTACCGGATCAACTCAGGTCTTCTCAAGTCCCTGGGAGAGACTTGAGTTACCCCCAGACCAGTTACCAGAGCACACTGGTCCCTGAGCAGGACCTAATAAAGATGAGGGACTTCCAAGTTTTCCGACCTGTTGCTGCCCCTTTCTATCAAATCAAGCTTCCGTGAGGTTTAAAGTCTTGCCAAACCGCACACAGCAAATCCACAGGAGCCAGATTTCCAGCTGGGAAGTTGGTTTGGATGATGGCTACGTCAGGCAGCCTTCCTGAGACAAAATTGTGAGGTCAAGTGTGGACTCCCACACTTGGAGTCACAACGCTAGGGAGGATGAGGCAGGAGGATTGCATTCAAAACCAACCTGAGCTACATGGGGAGGACCATGTAGCAACAAAGAAAGGAAGGGAGAAGGGAAAAGGAAGGGGTGGGAGCAGGCAAAGTCAGTTTGCAAGCCAAGATGAAGAACACGTGGGGCCTGGGGAGATGGCTCAGCAGTTAAGAGCGCTGGCTGCTCTTCCAGGGGACCTGGGTTCGATTCCGAGCACCCACATGGCAGCTCACAACTGTCTGTAACTCCAGTTCCAGGGAATCTGGCACCCTCACGGATATACACACAAGCAAAACATCAATAAAGTCAATAAATAATTTAAAAATAGTTAAAAAAGAAAGGAAGGAAGGAAGGAAGGAAGGAAGGAAGGAAGGAAGAAGGAAGGAAGGAAGGAAGGAAGGAAAGGAAGGAAGGAAGGAAGGAAGGAAGGAAGGAAGGAAGGAAAGAAAGAAAGAAAGAAAGAAAGAAAGAAAGAAAGAAAGAAAGAAAGAAAGAAAGAAAGAAAGAAAGAAAGAAAGAAAGAAAGAAA